TTACACGACCTAACCGATAGTTCATGAGAAAAAGAATTTTCATTTTTTTTCTAATTCACATTTTTATTCTCTCCAATTTTCTAACTCTTTACTATCGTCATCGTTACTTTAAGAATCGATAAAACATCACTTCAGATCATCTATTTTACGCTTATTTCTATGTAATATTTTATATTTCATCATTTATGATCACAGTGTCAAGGTTTCATAGTCTTTCATCAGTCTTATCTTATTTGTCGTTCACACTATAACTTCTAGAAATTGATATTTAACGGGATTAATGATCAATTAAAATAACAAAAAGTAAAATCATTCATCAAAAATTATCTTGTAAATTATAAATGAACATTTTGTTTGATTCTTCTACCGCGTAATACTTATAAATTATAATATTTGAAGTATAATTTTGTACGTGTGGAAGTTGATAATACATGTCTCGTCCCGTTGGACTCACAAAATATGCATAACATAAGAAAAGGACAGCAATAATTCTACTGAATATATTAGCATACTTATTCAAAATGAATTAGGACTGAATTTTACTTATTCGACTCCCCACCAGGGACATATTATCGTTAATCACATTTTGAACATTTTATTTAAATAATTTTTCACCGGCCTATAGTAGATTTCTATAAATAAAAATTGAATAAAAAATTGCATATAATATAAAAAACTGAATTACGTTTTAGCCAATTGTAATATTTCTTATGATGAACGAACAGAAGGGAATAAATTAAGATGATTAGTTTTACCGAGAAGTACTTATAAATTATAATATTTAAAGTGCAATGTAAGATTAGATGTTAGATCGTAGACGTGAAAGTTATGATAACGAATGTTTCGTTCCATTGGACTTACAAAATATGTATACATGCATATATTGCAAAGAGTATACACTATAGGCTAAGGATAGAAATGTAGAATATATTAGTATACTTATTTTGTCTTAATCAAAATTTGACTTGTACATATATTTTTGCACGTCCAACAGAGATATACGTACGTGCATATTCATGTATACATAATTAGTATTTGGCAAGAGTCAAATTAAAGCTTACGAAATAAAACGATAAAGTTGATAAATATATCTGAGAATAAATATCAATCGAATAAAAGTCAGGATGATGTTTCTTTTCAATAAGATTGACACAAATGTCTATATATAGATATACTCGAATTCTTCGCGACTAAAAATATCATTTATCCGGGAGAACAATACGATGTAAAATGTTAAGATCCATGTGTTACCAAAAATAGACAGGGTGAAATATTTAAGTTGGAACGTATAGATATTTTTGTTATTAATAATTGTATAAGAAAAATTCTTAAGGATAAAGCTAAACGATTTGAAGGGATAGATGCAACTGTAAAATAATTTATTTTTAATGATCATTAGTTTAAAAAATGTCAAGGTAATTACTATTGTTTTAAATATAGAATTATATTTAATTTTTCATATAAAAAATTTGGTTAAAATATGAAATTTGAAAAAAATTATTTTACTCCTAAATGTATATCGTTTGAAATAATATAAGGTTTGTCCATATAAATTTTTCGATAAAATCATAAATAACGAAGATTATTTCGAATTGACCGTCTCACCCTGTATATCTTTTTATCGACTCTTCCTTTGATCGTGGATTAGAAATTCGATCGCAAGATGGCGCCCTTATATCACGTAGAAAATTTTCTTCCCCAAAAAAAGAGAAAAAGAAATTAAACTAAAATTTTCTTGTTTATATATATTTTATAACACGCACAAAATCGTCAATACAAAAAAGGGAACCAAAAAATCAAGATCATTTCAATAACAAATCATTGACAAATTTCGTATAATATATTGGAATTGTTTCGTATAGTATGAAACAAGAAAAAGAGTACTTTTAAATTTGGTAAAAAGAATTGGCGCGAAGTGATAGCGCGTTAAACTCCATTTTCTTTTTTTAACTTTTCCCGATCGAACGAACGAACGGGCACACGCATAAACGTAGATCAAAGAAATGAATATATCGACGATCGCAATAATTCGAAAGTTTCCGATTATCGTATCTCTTTACACACGAATCTTTTTATCTAACTATCTTCCTCGATCTTTCTTTATCTTTTTCCATCTATCTGTCTCTTTCTTTAGTTCGGCATTGCCATATAGCACAATTCGCGAAATAGCGAATCGTGTCACATATATTTTTTGGCAATTGTGTTCTTTCGAAATTATGTGAGAATGACTTTGGCATTAGTCCAGCGTTCTGTAGAATGCGAGCAAGGGGACAAGTCGCGTATACGTAGAAAGAAAGAAAGAGAAAAACAGAGAGAAAGAGAGAGAGAGAGAGAGAGAAAGAGAGCAACGAACCCTAGGAAGCTACGGACAAGACCTCTTCTCTGTCTTTCTCTTTTTGTTCCATCTTGCGTTTTACCCGGACGACGTTTCCGTTTGGCATCTCTTCTTCCTCCTCCCCTTCCTCCATCTCCTCCTCCTTTTCCCGTTCTTGTTCCTCTTCCTTCTCATCTTTCTCCGCCACCTCCAATTCTTCTTTTACCAATCCCCATTCCACCCCCTCGTTCAATTCGGAAGTCAAAAAGAACTTTTAAACTTTTCGAACGATCGACGAATCACCGAGGACGATGTGCTTCTCGATCATTATCACGCGTTAAAAACTTTCCTCGACCTTGTCACCGCACAACCCTCCTCTTCTCATCGCTCTCTCTCTCTCTCTCTCCCTCTCTCTTCCTCTCTGTCTAACTTCTCTCTACCCTTTTTTATTTTTTTAAACTTGACTTTTTTTTCCTCGGTTACTCGCCGAAGAAAGTAAAAGAGAAAAATCTCTGAGTTGATTTAATCTGGATTAATCCGATCAAACGAAACCTGAACGAACGATCGTTAAGATCACGTGATTCTAAACTAACTCTTCTACTCTTGTATCTGTTGTACCAATTACGTGGAAGGTAAAAGAAAAAGGAAAATAATAAGACGAAGGACGAAGACGAAAACGAAGAAGAAGATGATGAAGAAGAAGAAGAAGAAAGACAAAAAATTAAAAATAAAAAGAAGGATAAACAAGTTACAGGATTGAGACAGTAATGAAAGTTAACAAAGTTAGTAGAAAAGTAAATTCAATATCTATCGAGTAATTAGCGATATCGGAATATCGAAATATTGACACTAAGAATCTAGATTATGTGAAAAAGAGATAAAGAATGAGAGAGAGAGAGAGAGAGAGAGAAAGAAAAAGTGAACGAGCACACACGAGTTCACGAGGTTGAGTACACGTTAGACAGAAAATATTGATAGAATCATCGTTTCATAAAGAGTGGATGTGCGAGGGACGTACACCTTCCCCCCCTCCCCCTCTGCCCCCAACCCTCGAGCATCCCAGCTACCACCATTCGTTCTCGGCTTCGTGCAGCAGGTGAACACAAAATATGGCCGGCCATTATTATGCGAAAAAATAAAAAAAGAAAAGTCCTCCTTTATATGATATTACCTTTGAAGAGAGAAATAGAATCACGTGGTATCATCTCGTTTCAGGTCCTACCGACAAAAGTTCTTATCTTTTTCTTTTTTTGTCTTAAGAGAGAATTTAACTACGAACAATATATTTTCTTTCTCTCATTTTATAATAATTACGTATGTTATTCGATTAAAAATCACATATATATATATATAAAAAGAAAAAAAGGAAATGTTAATAAAATATTGTACACGTTTAACTTACAATTAGAGATAGATAAGGTAAGAAACTTTTAGGAAGAAGACCTGATAAAACAAAAATACAAACTGTCCGAATAAATTTCAATAGAAACAAAGGGAGAATGATAGGGAGGGAAGATGGAGGAGGGGAACAGATATGGTGAGGAGGGCAGATATGGAGAAGGGGGGCCTGGAAGAGAGAGTACATGATACTTGACAAGAAAAGTGAGAGAAGTCGAACGCTTGATTTTAAGTTATTCATTTTTATCGAACGGCATTGACCAACGGGTAAAAGACGAGGCATCGTTTTTCCCCATCTTCCTGGTGTTCATCGTCGTCGTCGTCGTTGTCGTCGTCTTCGTCGTTGTCGTCGTCGTCGCCGTACGTCATAAAAGCAGCCTTGGCAGGGCTGCAAGCTCGTGTCGCGTGTTCTCGGGTTCATCGACATCTCGCGCTCGATACGCGCGAGTACGCGCGAGAGAAGAGCAAAGTAATATCAGAATTCATCGCTCGAGAGCCGATTCTGTGGGGGGTGGGTGGGGGGGGGAGGGGAAGGGGTGAATGAGGAGAGGGTGGTGGTATACGTACGTTGGTGGTGCTTGAACATAAGGGGGTGAGGATAGTTCGTACGTAAGAAAGAAAAAGAAGAAAAAGCAAAGGAGAGAGAGAGAGAGAGAGAAGAGTGTATGAGAATGTAAAAGAGAGAGAGAGAGAGAGAGAGAGAGAGAGAGAGGATGAGAGTACGATGAGAAGAGTAGATGAGAAGGAGTAAAGAAGAGAGAGAAAAGCTCTCTCCACTTCCTCGTGAACCTCTTCGAGAACGTTTATAAGCGGACTTTTAGGGCGGCTGCCGGATGGAGGTTAGGGTTGGCGTCGAGGGGAGCAGCCATGGAGATTTGGGGTTAGTACGGTGGCCGTGGTGGTGGTGGTGGTGGTGGTGGTACTGGCGATGGTGGTGGTGATGGTGCCGTTGCCGCCACTGCTGCTGGTGGTTGTAGTGGTGGCGATGGTGGTGCTGGAGGTGGTGGTGGTGGTGCTAGTGGTGGTGGTGGAAACGGTGGTGATGAGCGCGGCCAACTGCGCAGACCCCAAGTCTTTCGGGGAGCGACGAGTACGTAGCACAACTCGGAACGAGTCAGTGAGGATCCGTGGCTCCTCTTTGCAGTGCACGTTGAAATCTCAGGGAGAGTCTTTCGTCTTTCTCTCTCTTTCTCTCTCTCTCTCTTTCTCTCTCTTTCTTCCTCTTTCTTCCTCTTTCTCTATCTATTTATCTGTCTATCTATCTATCTATCTAACTACCTATACATATATATATATATATATATCTATCTTTCTCTATCCCTCTTTTCTTTCATCATTCTCACCTGCTCTCTTCCCTCTCGACTTCTTTTTATTTCAAACCACTCGTGCCTCCTCTTGCATCATTTTTCTCCTTTACCCACAGATCATCATTATCATCATCGTCGTCGTCGTCGTCGTCGTCGTCGTCGTCGTGGTCGTAGTCGTCGTGGTCGTTTCTTGGCGATTCTTTTCTCCTCTTAACAACTCTCACCTTACTCTCTTCTTGTTCCCTCTCGAAAATCCCTACCACCTTGATAACTCGTTAACTCACTCACTCCACTCTCTTTTTGTTGTCTTTTTCTTTTCCTCTCACCTGTCCGTTCATCTATCTCTCTCTCTCTCTCTCTCTTTCTCTCCTTCCCTCTCTTTTTCTCTCTCGAAGACTCTCGCGCGGCATCTCCCTCTCGAATTTTTATGGCAGCGAACAACACGCGTTGCCTCTCGCGACGACCGTCGTGCTTCTCCCGTCTAAACGCAATCACGTGGAGGATGATCACCCGATCACCGGTTTCGTAAAAGTCATCGATGTTAGTTAATCTACGTCATTGTTCTCATCGTTTTTGTTCTCATCGTTTGTTTTATCAATAAATTAATTAATAACAATAATAATAACAACAACAACAACAACAACAACAACGACAACAACAACAACAATAATAATACAAGGATAAACTTAATAATTAATCATTAAGTTACATTTTTATACATTTATCTCCGTTCGACAATCTTTCTCGTTTATCCAAGAAAAGGAGATATTATATTCAGGATTGAACCAGGTCGATGTACTGCACGACACCGAGGGAATCGAGTGACGCCTCACTTCCGTCGGGGTGAGTATCGTCGCTTTTATTTTATAAACCCGAATAAAAAAAAAAAAAAAAGGAAAAAAAAAAACAAAAACCGGCAAGAAAAAAATTCTACCCAATCCTTGAGAACTTTCGCCGGGGAAAGAAAAAAAATAATAATAATCGACGAAGAAAGCAACCCTTCTTCGTTTTCTTATCCCCAACACTCAGTCCACCAGACCCCCGGCCCCCCCACGCCCCGCCCCCCCCATCGCCCTTCTGCCGTTAAAAGATCTCGTTCCGCCCATTTCCTACGTTTTCTTCGAAAACGAATTTTCCGTAGGGTTTGCGCGCGTTCGATGATACATCGGGTTGGTTCTTTTTAAATCTTTACCCCCTTTTAAACATTTACCGGATACCGTATTTCCATTTCACGGTACTCAATTCGTATTGCATAGGACTGGGATTTTTAGGACACTCTAAAAAAACTTTCTAAACTCTCTCTCTCTCTCTTTCTCTCTCATCAGACTTATCCGCAATTGGAAAGTTAGGAAAGGGCCTTTGGCTTTTGGTTTTTTTCCACCATTTTATCCAAGCATTTTCGAATGAAACTACCTTAATACTTGTTACCTACCAATCTATCCACCTACTTCTAACGTTGAGCATGTTCTTTGATCGTTAACGCAATTACCACTCGGCTGAAACATTCATGATGACGTCTTTCTGTACCTCTCATCTTGTAGAAAAACTTCCCTCAAAGAAGACACACGTTTATTCATTCATTCATTCACTCACTCACTCACTCTCTCTCTCTCTCTCTCACAAATATATTCCCTCTTTTATCATTATAAATCTTTTCTTCTTTCCACGCTTCTCATTTTTTGTAAATATTAAATAATCATTCAAATGCCTAATTAAAAAAGAAAAAAATAAATACCTTTTCACTTAATTTCTTTCCATCTCATTCCTTATTTAAGATTTATTTTTCTATTCTTTTCTTTTTTTTTCAAATTTTTTTTAATACGTATCAGATAGAAATCACGTTAGCTTATTCGCTATCATCTTTCTTAACAAATTGGAACGAGGCTCTTACGGGTACGTAAAGCGGCTATCGATTTCCATAATTAATTTCCCGATGCCGTGGATATAGTTAATCCTGGCTGTACAGCAACTCTCATTCCCTCTTTCTTTCTTTCTTTTTCTTTATTTTCCTCTCTCTCTCTTACTCTTTCCGTCCGATGGTCGAGACGCGGCGCGTAATGAAATGCACCCTTCCTCCTTTTGCCTCTGTTTAGGCGACATTATTATTCCTCGGGCCGACGAGAGCCGGCGGCGCTGCCAACTGGGAGTCAAAGTATTCTCAACTACGAGCTGCTACCGAGAGCGGCTTACGTATCGTCGAACAGGGAATTAAGTACATAGTACCGTCGTCCTTGTCGCTACAACCGAGTATATGCACTTTCTTATCGAATTAAATTTTAACGCTTACTCTTTTTCCATCCCTCTTCTCTCTTTATTTCTTTCTCTGTGTGTGTGTATGTGAATTTTTTTTATTTCCTTCTTATTCACTCTCTTTCGTTTCTCTTTGAGGAACGGAGTCGTAATTGAAAACGGGTCAGGCACGTTTTACGCGTCCTATCCAACGACTACTACTACCTACCCACCTACCTACCTACCTACCTACCTACCTACCTACCTACCTACCTACCTATCTCGACGTCAACGTCAACGTCGTTGGTGTTTTTCGTCACAGTGCAACCCAACGCACTGTGTTTAACAACATCCAACCGTCAACGTTAAGCTCACTTTGAACTTTTACATCGCAACCACTTCTTCTGGCATTTATTTTCATATGCCTCTTTAATGACACCGTTCGTCTCTTTTCTTTTTCTTTTTTTTCTTTTTTCTTCTTATTCTTCTTCTAAGTGCCGTCAAATCTTCTCCCTAGATAGGAGTGTTAAAAAATGAATGTATTAACAAATCTTTCCCCGTCTTAGCAACGCTTCTCTACCGTCGTCATTTTTGTTTTTCCCGATCGGAAAAAAATTTTGAAATATATTTACGACGTTGGTATTCGTTGACTGAATATATTGTATTTTATTCGTGTTTTTGAACGATTGAAAAATGATCTCTCTAACCCAATGAATTTCATTCTGGTTGTTTTAATTATTTCGTGGGATTTAAATCGTCTAACTTTCGTGAGAGTTTTCCCTTGAGAGGAGGAGAAGAAGAGAGGAAAAATAAGAGGAAGGGTGAGAGAAAGAGGGGTTTGATAAATGAAGATGAGATGCCTGCAGAGATGCATTGAGCATCATCGATCAAAGACCACTGGATGCTTCGTTAATCCTCTCCTAGTGCAATTTCCGTTCGACCAAATCGTCCACCATGATTTTATTCATTCCAAACTAGGTAGTTGTACGTGTCGAATAGTTGGTAAGAGGGTTCACCGTTGCCCATCATTTCGTTTTCGAAACGTTTTACCAATTTTATTTACTGTTACATTACGTAAATTTTTATATCCGTTACATTCAAAGATAAATCTAAAAATATATATAATTAACTTTTATGTCAAAATATTTTATATAAAGATTAGATATTCTATATATTATAAATATAATATTATATATAATATATATATATCACATATATACATAAGAAAAGAAAATTTTTAAATAAGTCCGCGAATAATGCTAGACAATTTCGTATTTTTGTTAAGAAAACCAAACCATTCCTGTCCCCTAAAAATACACCAATTAACTAATATTCATATCCATTTACGGAAAATTAACTTCCCAAATAATCGGGTTGAATTTTCTCGGAAAATCGTCAAATTTATCCACACGGTGGTGCGGCGCGTTCAGAGACACAAACTCGCAATTAGATGAGCGGAACATTATCTTGTCGAGTTGTTCGAACAATTCGCATTTGTTAACTATATATATATATATACATATATATATATATATGTATACGTATTCCCATATATATGCCTCCTACTTATCTCCCTACCGTATCCCTCCCCTACACACACACACACACACACACACACACACATACAAACATACATACACAATCCTATACTATATATACTATTGTCGAATGAACGAATCGCAAGAGGCAATCTGAGAGACAAGACGATTACTTATTCCCCCTCTGTCTGTCTCACCCATCACCTTGTTCCACTCCTCTGTTCATACTAGTAGCGTGTCCGTAGATTTGAGTTAATTCGACGAAATCGCGTGACGAAGAAGAAGGAGGACTTCCCAAACTAACGCAACAACAAGGCTAACCTTATCGCGTTGAATTTTCGGACCGCTTATTACAAAGAGAAGAGAGAATAAGAGAGCAAGAGAGAGAGAGAGAGAGAAGGATGAAACGTTCGTAGATTCTCATAATATATCGTCGCTCGGTAGCTGCGGAAATATGCATTTACGAAGGGTAGTGAGAAGGGGTGGTTTTAATGGGTGGTGGTACTGGTGTAGCTAGTAGTAGTAGTAGTAGTAGTAAGAGTAGGAGTAGGAGTGTAGTAGTAGTAGCAGTAGAAGTAGTACTAGGATGAGGAGGGGAAAGAGAAGGAGGTGGGAAGGGGAGGAAGGTGGAATAGGAGTAGGGTTATATAGGATCGGCGCGCCGGAAATCACGGTGGAAAAGGACGGTGGAAAGCGCGCAAGAAATTTTAATAACCGGCGATACGATCGAGTCTGCGGCACACGGCTGGCTTCGGTTAGGCTACGCTAAATCACAGCACACCTGGTGCTCTTACTATTCCCCTCTCTCTTTCTCTCTTTCTTTCTCTTTTTCTCTTGCTTTCACACTCACTTTGAGAGACCAGGATAGATGTATGTATTTGCCTGTGCACACGCTGGATTACCTTCTTTCTTTTCCTACTACCTATCAAACGTACATATTCTCTGTCTCTTTATTTATTTTTCTTCTGTTTTTCTTCCTCTTCTTCTTCTTCTTCTTCTTCTTCTTCTTTCACTTCTTCTTCTTCTTCTTTTTGTTCTTTTGAAGAAGTCTTTGGCTTTACTGCTCGTAGCCTAATCTTCTCCTTCTTCTCTTGCTCGTTCATCTGCTGCTGCTTTTTCTCTTTCACTTCAAGTCTTTTCTTTAGTTGTCTTTCTCTTTCTCTCTTGGTCGTTCTCCGTTCATCCATCTCATTCTCATCCTCTCGAATTAAGCAACCCCAGAACCAAAAGGTTCGTGGAAAAGGCGAAGGCTATAAATATGACGTGGAAGGTCGAATAGGGCTGAGAAGAGAGAGAGAAAGAGAGAGGGATAGTAAATGGGGAGGGGTGGGTGGGGGAAACAGGGGCTGAGAGAATGGAACTAAGAAGGAGACTCACTATCCTCCGCACAATGCGTATCGTGGCAATCCTATTTTCAGAGATACTTATCTCTCTCTCTCACTCATTTGATCTCTTCGAAGCATCTCTACTACCATCGTTAAAATCAGAAGGGGAACTTAACCGTTCTCTGCTTCCCTATTGGCACCTCGAATTTACCACTAAATGCGTCTCTACCTGTTTTCTTTCAACTCATCCTTCTTATTCCTTTTTCCTTTCCATCCTCCTGAACGATTTTAAATGCCACGTAGTAGAACGAGGGCGAGAGGGTGGGAGGGGAGGGTCCAATCTTCGTGCTCAAACTTTCGAGTTACGAGATAAATCAACGTTGTTCGTTTAAGTATGTTTTAGGGGGAAGAATAAAAAAGGGAGCGGGGGGGGGCGGTTGGGGGGATGATGGTAGTTTTTCGAGTGAAATGAATTCGGCATTCTTCCTCTCATATAGTTTGAAAAGTCTCTTATTTCTTTTCCTACTACTATTTCTATTTTTATACGTTTTTAGCAAAAACGATATGTTAAAGTTGTCCTAACACATTTTGTCGACTATTATCGAAAAGTTAACGGACATTAATATCGACGTCAAGAATGAAACTAGTCCCTTTTGGTGACTCACTTTAAGTATACACGCACATAAATATATATATATACACACACAAGTATATTTATATTATAAATCATTTATATATACATATATATATA